CGTAGTTGCCAGTCGGCATTGACCGGCAGATGGAACTCGGAGGAGGCCTAATCGATGAGATCTAATAGGTCGCGTGGAGGTAATTGTGGGCCAGGCACTCATTTGGATCCCGCAAAGTGATTGTTCTGGGACTCAAGGAAAGTCATAGAACCACTCCTTTTTCCAGCAAATTAATCTCCCGCAATGTCCTGTTTCATCCCAGGGAGGCATTTGTAGCACCCAGAGGCAATCCTGCAACAAACAAGAGAGTAGCGCCTAGTGCGTTGATCTGCTAAACATTTTTTCCCCTGAATGTCTGTGGAGATTTTCAGTTGTCCGTAGTTGTCCCAAAGGTGCTTTTTCAAAAGGCAACCGGACTTCTGTTTGTTTTTTCTTGAAGGCGTTTCACTTCTCATCCAAGAAGCTTCCTCGGTTCTGACTGGAGAAGCCAAAGAACTGAAGAAGTTTCTTGGATGGGAAGCGAAACGTCTTCAGGAAAAACAATGTCCAGTTGCCTTTTGAAAAAGGACTTTTTGGACACGTTTTTTCTTTTTCTTATTTTCTACCTCATGTGTACATCTCAGAGGACAGAATAATAATAAGAAAGTCAAACCTCTGTTTTAGTACGTTGTTAAAATATAATGGCTATTTATTCCAAAGCTGCCTTCCACTTTTGCTTAATTTAATGTAATTCAATTTTGTATAACTATCTTAAAGTACATTTTTGCAAGTGATCTCAACATAGCAAGCTAACCTCAAGATACTGATTTGAGTTTGGAATGTTGCCTCTTGCAGAAAGTCAAGCCGTGTGTAAAGTGTGTGAGAGAGAGATGGGGGGGGGGGAATATATGTGTCTTCCCTTGCTGCTTATTTGCAGTGATTGACCTATAGCTGTGACATGCAGCACCCTCTCTTTGGGCACATAAACCGTCACCCTAGCTCAGCTTCGATGCGCACATGCCTCCCATCAGCCAGCTGGTCTTCGGGTCTCTACCACACATGCCCAGGGCGCATCGGGTGTGCGTGCGCATCCTGGGGTGCATGCAAGGGGCCACACGCATACATGTGTGGGGGCGCACACAAATTCACGGGGGGCAGGGTGCATGCGCAGGGGGGCATATGCGGGGGAATGCGTGCGCATTGCATTTGGAGGGTTCGGGTGCCCACGCTTTGGGCACACAGTCCGTAAAAGATTAGCCATCCCTGACCTATAGGCTTCTCTTTACAGTCTGCATGAGGCTCGCTCGGGAGATATCTGCAATGCTTGTGTGCTTCTGGTGAAAAGGTGGAAAAAGCTGCCAGCAGGATCAAAAAAGAATTGGAATCATGTGAGTTCCTGAACTGTAATTACAAAGTGATTTATGTTATTTTTATTCATAGATATGGATGCTCACATTCAGGTATATCTCACCCCTCCAATGCATAAGTTTATGCAGTTACATATGTTATGCAATTACATGAAATAATTAATAGTTGAAGCCAATGAAAATTTATAACTTTAAACAGAAATGTAGTCAGAGCATACCGTATTTTTCGGAGTATAAGACGCATCTTTTTCCCCTCAAAAAAGAGGGTGGAAAGGGTGCGTCTTACACACCGAATGCAGCATTTTTTGCCTACTGAAACTCCGTCCCCTTTGCAAAAATGGACATGCAGAGATTTTGGGAGGCTTGCTAAGTGCTCCTGAGGGTTGGGGAGGGCAAAAATAAGCAAAAAACGGGCTGTTTTTGCCCCCCTCCCTAGCCCCCAGGAGCATTCTACAAGCCTCCCAAAGTTCTACATGCCTTTTTTTTTTTGTAAAGAACGAGGCCGTGCAGAGGGAGGCCCGCAGAGTGCAAAACCCTTTTTTTTTTCATTTATCTCTTCAAAATCATGGTGCATCTTATACTCCAGTGTATCTTATAGTCTGAAAAATATGGTAATTAGTTATTTAATGTGGATGCAATGGATCAGTGTTTCTCTTGCTGGCTGGGGAATTCTGGGAGTTGAAGTCCACCCTTTTAAAGTGACCAAGTTGAGAAACACTGCAATAGACGATTTGTTTTATAGGATAAAATATACATGTAAAGCAGAATAACATCTTGCTGGTCCTATCCTGCAAAAGTAAAGGATTCTCATCAGTCAATAGACATTTCCCCTCTCTGGAGCAGGGTTCTCAATCTTGATAACATTAAGCTGTGTGGACTTCAGCTCCTAGAAATCTGGGATTTGATGTCAATACAACTTGAAATCGCCAAGATTGAGAAATATTACTGTAAAGAAGTCTAGCTGAGCTGACAGAAAATTCTCAAGAGTCCTCACCAAATCTTGATACTTACGATTTTTTAAAAAGTTATAGTAATTGGTTTAAAACATACACCCACGTATACTTTATCTTTCTGACTGTGACTTAGTAGAACCATTTTGAATTTTACAGAAAGAAGAAAATAGATAGATCAGGATTACTTTTATTTTACAGATACAGTAACAGAATTTTGCAAGTCTGCATGTGCTTCCCTCCCTCCCTCTGTCTTTGTTTTGACTAGGGAGAGACTTGTCTGAAACATTTTCATAAATTATTTTCTTGGACTCAAGTGCTATTTATCTGATCTTTGTCTTGGTAGCTGATCTTCCTCGTGTCCTTCAAGGCCATTCCTTATGCTTTCTACAGCTTTTATTAGTAATTACCAGCCCACTGGTTTTACTTAAATGCATACTGAGATCCAGTCCAACTTCTCTGAAGTGGGTGTTGAACCAGGACGGGCGGATCAGTAATCAAGCAGCCATATTTTGAACCAGCTGAAATTTCTTAGTGGTCTTCAAAGGCAGCCCCAAGTAAATCCCATTTTAGCAATTCAGACAGTGATCCCATTTCTACTGTAATAAGGCTAGATCAGGGATCGGCAACCTTAAACATTCAAAGAGCCACAAAGTTCCCAACCGGAAACTCCTCTCAAAATTGTTTCGCCAACTGTCAACGGAGCCACAGTAGAGGGATGAAAGAGCCACATGCGGCTCCAAGGCCGTGGGTTGCTGACCCCTGCTAGATAATGGTAAGAATATGGGGCTATACACATAAATATATACATATCACTAGGAATTGCATGAGGCAAGTAGGGGGAAAGTGTAAATTAAAACAGCATTCTTAGTTATCCTCACAAACGTTTCAACTGGCCACCTCAGACTTTCCAGGTAAAACAAGTAGATCTGCACCTTGTAGTATAGACCATGCTAAGCCAAGATTTGTGAGCCAATATTTTCCTCTTCTATTGAGTAGTACCCAACATGCCTAGAGCTGCTGCCATTCTGGCTTTGTCTTTACCTGCCTTTATTGTTACTATGATTCATAGGACTCTAATAAGTTAAATAAACACAAGGAGGGTGATGAAAGAGAGATCATGTGTTGTACGAGCCACAAGAGGTCTGGTTTGAACATTCCTAATTTGCAATCTAAACCTCAAAGATGAAGTTACCATAGGTAGACTGTAGCACTCCAGGTTGTGGCTTGAGTGCTGCAGTAAATGTCTTTCTATATTAGGGTGAATAGGCAGAGCGAGAATGGTAACAGGTAGTTCTTGATGAAGGATCACTTGTTCCTCAAACTTAACAACAGTCCTGAACAGAGGATATTTGTAACCAGTCCTTGATGTAAAAAAGATGTTGAGACTCTGGGAAGAGTGCAGAGAAGAGCAACAAAGAGGATTAGGGGACTGGAGGCTAAAATATATGAAGAACGGTTGCAGGACCTGGGTGTGTCTAGTTTATTGAAAAGAAGGACTAGGGGAGACATGATAGCAGTGTTCCAATATCTCAGGGGTTGCCACAAAGAA